AAACGGGCCTTGGCAGAAGTCATTGAACTACTAATGAAATTATCCTCTCCTACACCCTAATTTTTCTGCCTAACACAGGCCATTTCGGTGGCTTCCTGGCGCCGGCCGCCGTTTTAGTATGTTATAGTAAACGGTATCATCATCACCATCGTGGCGTCCGGCGTTCGAGTACGAGGTGAAGAGTAGTAGATCGGATTTCGGTGCGGTGGAGCCGAGCGTTGTGGTGTTTAAGCAGAAGCAGAGAGAAGCGGTGGAGGCTGGTGATTTTGTGGAGGATAAGAATGTGGTGGTTGAAGGTCTTAATGGAGATGAGTTGGTGACCTCGAAATCCGAGTGGAATCCGCTGAGCAGGATGAATTCGTCGGAGATTCCAGTGGAGATTCTCTTACCCGTGGAGAAACCTCTGGTTTCTGCCAGGTCCGGCCACCGGAAACTTGTCAATAAAGTCAGTCCAGAAGGTATTAATCTTTTCTGTCTAATTTTATTTTTAGAAATAATTGTAATGGCCTGATCTTGATCAGTTGATCTCCTCTCATTTCTAAGTTTCGATTTTCAAATTTTGAAAGAAAAAAAAAAAAAAGAAAAAGGACTCAACATGCTTTTCGGTCGGCGTCGGCGAGATTTCTCCGGTGCGGTTTTTGATTTTTGTATTTTTCATAAGAAACGTTATTTGGTTAAAACTCCTTTTTGGTTCCTAAACTATTGTACGGACCTCTGATTTAGTCCCTAAACTAAAAAAATCTTTGATTTGGTACCTACTGTTTACCATTTTTACCCTGATTTGGTCCTTCCGTTAAAATATCAACGTTATCTCATGACAATTTAATGACATGTCAAACATTTGAGACACGTCAGTTGTATAAATGAATAAATAATGACATGGCAACGTGATATGTCATGTTCTTGCTCAACCCAACAAAAGTGGGGCCCACCAAAATTACAAATTTGCCATCATCTTCTTCCCCCAGCAAACAAACCTAGCACCTGGTTGAATTGAACCCAATAGCACCTTTTTTTTTTTTCCTTCCTCTTCCTTGCCTTGCTTTCTTCATCATCATCAAACA